TGTGCTGCATTCTGTGTGCAAAGAAGACCATTACCAGCTATTAGGAAGCAGCAGTACTGCTGATATAGCTTCATTTTTGTTCTTCACAGGGCATCATTTTCATTTACAAAAAGGGGTTTTCAAAGCAATGCCATAAAGAAGAACCATTTTGGTTCTCCAAAGAGAATTTTAGTGAACAGTTTCTAAAAAAAACTTCTTCTTTTTTTCGTAGTTCAAAGAACTTTTTAATAATTCTAAGAATCCTTTTCCACTATAAAGAACCTTTTGTGCATTGGAAATGTTCCATGGATGTAAAAGGTTCTCCATGGATTCATAGATGCCAATAAAGAATCATTTATACGGATCCGGAAAAATGACAAAAAAAGCTGTATTCTGCTGCCAGGCCATTAGATTGTGATGAAACACTATAGACTGAACATGTAACACGCATGTGCATGACGTCATCGTCTTCAGAGATTCACGTTTTTGTTGTTTACATGGAGACCGTTTTCAAAAACTTGCACTTTGAAACCCGATTTCAAAAGTTTGCGTTTTCAGGCACCCAAAACGCTGTTGTTGTGTAAATGAACCCCCAAAACGCATAAAAACTTTTATGTTTTTAGTTGAAAATGGTGTCGTGCCCCGAGTGTATACGCACTTTTTAAGAGGTGTCTGATCTCTAGAGAATGATTCCTTGCATTTGTCAGTTGGTTCATGCAGGTCTGTGGATGTGACTCCAGCTGAGTTTAATCACCTGTGTGGCTTTGATTTTCTAGCTGAATTTCACCTGTGTGACTGGCTCTAGCAGATTTGCTGCCGATTTCAGTGTGCTGATGCAGTTGTGAGCCATTTTTAACCACGGAGGGTAAGCTCCCCTCAGGATGAGCGTTGTGCAACAGTGTCTTTAGGGATAATGAGCAACCAACCGAGCTTTAATTTTGACACCTGCCTGCCTCTATTTATTTCATTGTCTCAGAGTTAAAATAGGCACAGCATTCCTCTGCTGCTGAGAACAGCTGAACTGATTAGATTTCATATTATACATTTTCACTCTCACAACCGAGTGGTAAAATGGTATTCAGGTACAAAACATGATTACTTTATCATAAAGTAAGGGGTAATGTACAATCACGTGGTGATTACTGCAAAATAAACTCTAACCAGATTATCAGGATCAAGTCTTGTATCATCCATATGGGTTAATTTTGACTGCTCATTCCACTTATGGCTATACTTACTTACTTATGGATGGATAGATAGATAGATAGATAGATAGATAGATAGATAGATAGATAGATAGATAGATAGATAGATAGATAGATAGATAGATAGATAGATAGATAGATAGATAGATAGATAGATAGATAGATAGATAGATAAACTGTGCTTAAGGCATTAACTCGTGTTGAGGCGGATACAAGAGATGATTTGATAGATGTGAAAGTTGTTCATCCGGAGGCCCGTATAATAAAGAAAAACATTTAACCACCATTACTGAAAATAAATGAAATCCTGGTTAAATACTACTGGCGTAAACCATCTACAAAGCAACCCATCTGGAAGAAAACACGGAATAATCACGCTGACTTATTTTGTTCATTTTAATTGGTAGCATGAGGAGCAGGGCAGAAAGGTCTTGTGCAATCAAAGAGGCATCAGTGTCGTAATGTTTAAGAACTGTTTTGAAGATGGATGAAAACGTTGAAGCATCATTTGCATATGAATATACTGTGTTTCTGCTAATGCAATTCAATTAGATGCAATGTATGAATGATATTAGCATAGCCATTTTAGCTTTTACTGCAGCGAAAAGCCCTAGATAATGTAGGATTATAACAATTTTTAAAGGGAAGAATCAATATTATTATTGCTGATGGGTTTGGGAAGTATACATTTAGGCATGTAACTCATCCCACACAATTTATACTATGGACATGAATGATACCTCAAATCATGCAACTTGCTTAAGGGAGGTGTGCTATTATGGACAATAAAACAGGTCAAATAACCCCATAGATTTACTATTAATGAGGGACACAAACCAACTTTGGACTCACTAAAAATATTTCACAATATTCTGGAACTGAACCTCATAACACCCTGCTACCCACAACACCCTAGCATATGGTGGGGAGTATTACACTCACATTTTCTTCAAAATATGTGAACATATTACATATACTTCCAGCAATAGATAAATATATACACACCATATACTACAAGCAATCAATTGTTTTTCCTTATTTCCCCTCATTAGGGTATGAAGATAAACAAATTATCTACTAAATATCTTACGTTGACACCTGGGGTTTGTTGGAAACTCAAAGACCAGGAGACTTGAATATATTTTCAGCATAAACCTATTTTTTTGCAGTGTGGTTTGCTGGTTCCCCATATCCATGTTATTTTCAGACGTGGGAAGTAAGCACTTAAAGGACAAGTTCGGTATTTTACACTTAAAGCCCTGTTTTAAGATCGTTTCTGATGAAATAGAACGGTTAAGATTGAAATTTGGAATCATACTGCTGATATGCTCACACAAAAATCGTTGCAAAAGATGCTTTCCAACAGGTTTTATCGTAGTTTTTGTCCAACTCCATTGACTTTGACTTGGGACAAAAACTACGATAAACACCTGTTGGAAAGCATCTTTGCAGCGATTTTTGTGTGAGCATATCAGTGAACACCCCTGACCAATCGGTGAGTTTTACGTCTTTGTAAACTAAAGTTTAATGCGTTTTAGGAAGTATTGTATCTCTGCACCTATGCAACCATTGTGGAGGTGGGGGGGTGCAACCAAAACCAAAAATTCTCGGGCCAGGAGCATGTGTCCAAAATTTCAATCTTAACCATTCTATTTCATCAGAAACGATCTTAAAACAGGGCTTTAAGTGTAAAATACCGAACTTTTCCTTTAACTATAAAGATAACTATATTAGCGCCCACACCAGTGGACAATATCATTCTGTTTATTCTATGCGCGTGCTTGTCTGTCACTTTAAAGGCACACTATGCAGGAATTCCGTTTTTGTCAAACAGCGACCCCTAGAGTCGCTGTGGAGTACTTGTATTTAATGTTACTGTCGTAAATGGTCTCTGCACTCACAGCCTGATACCCCTTTGAAGCTGTTATATTAAGGTACAAATCTTGCATAGTGTGCATTTTTTGCATTAGAGATCTAACGCTAAAATGTGTTTTTGAACTCAAGCTGAGCGCTCGTGTCCGCTGCTATCAGTGTCATGGATACATAGTGTCTCTTGTGGCGGCACGCGCGCAGTCTTCACTCGGACGCGCTCTTCAATCTATCGCAGTTGCGGAGACTCTCTATTCAATCCAGTGAAATCACAAAATAAAATGCACAAAAAAGTGTCCCTGCTTGATATATAGACTGTAACCACTGATGAACATATTCAGTTTTGATGAGAGAGAAAAAACTTAGAACCTGTAACCTCTGACACGCTTGGCAAAATATCTACCACTAGACCATTAAAGAACTCAAACAAAACTTGCAGATCGATGCATTTATTTACGGGTTGAAAGGCTCATTCTCGTTTTCTTTGCTTTTTCCATCGTCGAGTATCACGTCTGAAATGCGTGCAAGTGTCTTCGTGCTTCATGTCATGTCGTGATTCTTGCGAGATTTGTCGGGGGCGCTCCTCTCAAACTTGCATTGCTGGTTTTTCCAGCGGTGTCCCCCCCAAGCTTTACTACCAGGATGATTCGCCCTACTATTAGTTTGTTTACCACCAAAATGACTTTGAAGCTGTTATATTAAGGTACAATTCTTGCATAGTGTGCCTTTAAATACTTGAGCTCATTAAAGCAGGATGGATTCTGATTGGCTGTCAATGTTTTTATCATTCATCAGCTGGATAAAATGATTCCAACTATATTGTTTCTCTGCCGTTTTCGTTATAGCTGTGGTGTGAACTCTGCTATTCTTTAATATTGAGAACTATTTTTAGAACTACATCTTTATCTTTATCGTTATCTTTATAGTTATTGTCCTTGGTGTGAACGGGCCTTATGTCCATTCTGTATCCAATGTTTGTTAACATAAGCCTAATCTTCCAGTCTTCTATCTTCAAATAGTTACAGGCACATTTAACTTATTCTGTTTCCTAAAGTTGGGTAAATAGACAATAGTTCTTTTCAAAACACTAAAATTAAACACATTAAAAATAATGGTTCCAAAAGAAAACTTTTGCCACAATGCAATAGAAGAACCATGTTTGGTTCCCCAAAGAACTGTTTAGCGAAAAGTTTGGTAAGAACATTTTTTTTATCTAGCTCTCTTTGCATAGAGGAACACTCAAGCGAAGTTAAGCGAGAAGTTCTATCCGGGTCATGGCACCAAAACTGTTGAAAATGTCTGAAGTGAAGACCAGGAATCTCACTCTTTAGCAGATTCTTTATTTGGAACATTCAACAGTCATCCAGTCTAGCAAAGGAGACTATACATTGTATTTCTATAGGCATTCAGTGGTCCTTAGAGGTGTTGTCACAGTACTTAGGTGACGATGTTAAACAAAGCATGAGGGGAAGTAAGCAGTTGACCTGTTATGGGATCTGTTAAAGTCGCAGTTTCTGTTCAGATTTTATATTAGAACCCCGTCCCCCCTCAAAATTCACCCCTGAGACTAAGTCCCGCTGCATGTTCAAAATTATTATTTCAGAGGGGTTAAAATACCAAAGTATATTTATCAGTCAGCCCAACAAAATCTTATGGCAATTTGTAACCATTTTACCGAATTGGGGGCTAATTCGTATATATTCATATTTTTTAATACGATCTGCATACACCCCAGAGACGGGTATGCTTAGGGAGTAAAATAGTTACGTTTTCCCATGAGATCGTGTTGGTTGGCCATATGTGACACTAATGTTATAATTATTTTTGACCTCCCATGCCCTGGGCAGAATAATCAGAAGCTGATAATGAAATGAGCGGGTGAGAACACATATTCAATGTGTTTGCTTTTGCACGTGTGTCTGTGTGTGCTGTCTCGATCACAGAAAGGGGCCCGTGAAGCCAGAGGTTCTGCCCATTCAGTGGTCAGGAAGGAGATCTAATCGAAGACTTCAAAGGAATAACAGCTTGTCTCCAAACAACCCACTTCTGAACCTTGTCAATTCAGGTGATTATTCAAAGCAACAGTGTTCTGGAGGAAGAAAAGGGCACATACGCACACCCGGCAGGCATCCAGCTGAGAGCAGATCTGGAAAGAAGTTTAGGTAGGAGGGAGTGTGAGGAAAGACTGTCGGTGAGACCCAAGAGAAAGAGTATATATTAATAGTCTACCTTTTAATGGGAACCAAATTATTATATTATTATTATAGTAATATGGATATTTTATGGATTTTTCTCTCTTTTTTCCCAATTTATTTAGTAGGTCTTATGTTTTAATTTTGACAGATCAAATACACAATTTAGAAGAGAAAAGCATCTTTAATTGTGCTCATTCCTCATGCAAAAAATTTAATAAGGAGATATTTGTTTCCAATAAGTTGTAATAAGTTAATTTGATTCCAATTCAATTACATTCAGTCAGAGCAAATGCCTCCTAGAGACATATGGGATTGAAAAAAGCAAGAGAAAAAGAGAGCTGTATTTGTGTGATGAAATGTGTGTTTCTGCAGGTCTGTATGAAGAGGACAACCAGTGGATAACTCAGGTCAACAGACTGCAAAAGCTGATCGACCGTCTCGAGAAAAAGGCAACAGGCTACACACATGATCTCTCATTATAATGCTAAATCTCTATCTGTCATAACTCCTTCTCCTAATTCTTCTATTGAGGCTACACCTCACAAATCCCACAACTATTTCACCCAAAATGCAAGAGAAAGCATTAATAAGCGCACGCACGCACACACACACGTATTTACTTTCTTTAATTTATGCTGATTTAAATAAAACAAAAAGTATTGCATTACAGTAATGAAAATCTAACCATTGAGAATAATGGGAATTGCAAAAGAATAAATTACAATAATAATAAAGAAATACCCATGTACTATGGTAATAAAAAGGTTATTTTGTTTTGCATTGAAAACAGCTTTTTTTGTATTATAGTAATGAAAATGAGATTATGCCACATTACTTTGATGAGTGTGAGATTTTTAGCATTACAGTGATAAGCATTTTGGGGGGAAATTTCCTTGTCATGCAATTTCTTTTGACTCTGGGGTGAAATTTCATCTTGGCATGTTGTCATGAGATTCAAAAACATGTGGAAAAACAAGCTTGTTTCTAAATTCATAGGAACTGCGTTTGGAGCCTGTGGAAGAAGAGGTGTTGGAGAGCACCACCAAATCAGTAAGTCATTTATGATCACCCTGTCTATTACCATATTCCCAGAAAATCATTCACACAGTGACCACAGACACCTGTCTAGTGTCACTCGTCTAGGAAACAGTGGGGATCTGAAAACGAGTTCCAAGTTATTGCTTTTCTCTGTCTATCACTCTTCCTCTCTCATTTGGGTCTGCCAATCTTTTTTTGCGCAGTATTTTCAGAGAGCTTTTCTCTCAGGCTCACAAGATGTTGTTGTCAGACATTAAATAGGTGGTTTGTGTGTGATTCTGTGTTTGTGAAAGAGTGGCACCCGGACCCCTGTGGAGACTAGCTGTAAACACAGTAATGCATGACTGCCGATAGAGGCACAATACAACATTATATTGGACATGCTGAAGCATAAAATTACACATCACAAGTGCGTAGTTTCTTTTTTAAAATAACACTTTCATCCTATTTCACATGACTCTTAAGAGCAACTCGAGAACATCCTTTTCACAAGCAAATGGATGATCTTTCTGGAATTTCAAGCAGTCGGTTTATAATGAGCGATATTTCAAGTCTGATTCATTGCATTTATTATGTAGTCACGTTCTAATACATCCAAATGAGAAATCATTTATCTCTCTAATATCTATGAAACTCTATTTAATGGTTAAAGTTAAATAGCCTCTCGTCAATTTGTCATTTGTCAGTCTGACACTCACTGTCACAAACTGTATGCATGGAATAACAATTTCAGCATTGCTAATGCATCTTTATCATTTCATCGCTTTGTTCATGCTCATTTAGCATTCAAGTCTTACTTCAGCTGTTTTTTATGTTCATATGACAGATTATGTTCAAAGATCTCCTTGATTTGAGGACACTTATAAAGGACACACTATGTACTTGACATAACATTCATTTGTTGCAGATAAATATGGGAATAGTTTATCATATAATAGTTTGGGACACATTGCACAAAACAAAATGCAGTTTCCCCTATTTCTGTGTATAAAGATGTGTGAAAGATGGGAAATGGCAATAGCAAAAGCACAGAGGTGCGAACTCTCACTTACTGTTCCCTTCAGCCACCTGTCAACAACCTATTTTATAAAAAGCAGCTATTATGATGCACGACTTCATGGCTTTACCTGACGCTCAATGAGTCATAGCACCACTGGTGGAAATTTTTGTCTTCCCGCTTGTTTGATCCTCCTGGATTCAGTTTTTGGACCCCCTAATTCTGGAATATTGTTGATCTGACATCTCTTGTCTGGGACTCAGAAAGTCATGTAAATCATGATTCCCACCAAAAAAAAAAAAAAAACTATTTTAAACATTGATAACAATAATAATATATGTTTCTTGAGCAGCAAAGTAGGATATTGGAATGATATCTGAAGGATCATGTGACACTGAAGACTGGAGTCTTTTCAGTCTTATCAAGACTGATAAAATAAAATAAAATTCTGTATCAAAATTTATAGGCAAGACAAGTAGTTTGTTTAGGCATGGTTTATAGGGAATTACAAACCTGAGTACATATATTCAAACGCACATAACTATAGAATCAATAATTTAATAACAAATGATCATTTCAACGGAAGTTAATCAATCAAAACTAAATTTAGCTGTAGAATAACATTATTCAAGAACTGCTATAAAACCAAACCAATCTTACCTTAAATTATATTAAGTTTATCTCTGTAAAGCTGCTTTGAAACAATCTACATTGTTAAAAGCGCTATATAAATGAGGATGAATTGACTTGACTTAACTTGACTTGGAGTAATGATGATGAAAATCCAGCTTTGCCATCACAGGAATTAATTTGCAAACATTGAAAAATATATTAACAGAAAATCTTTATTTTAAATTGCAGTAATATTTCACAGTATTACTGTTTTTATTGTGTTTTTAATTTAAAAAATGCACCCTTAGTGAGCATAAGAGACTTCTTAAAAAAAAAAAAAAAAAAAATCTTACCATCCCTACTGATATTTTATAATAATTTTATAATATTTCTCCTCTAGTGCTTCTCAACTTGTTATTTTTGGACAAATTTTTTGCTTATTACTTTACATACTATCTCTATTTTTGATAGGGAATATTTCATAAATAATCAGTCAGAATAACATTTTAAATCGGGTCTTTATGTACTGCAAGAGAAAACTGATCCAGGAGCAGTTTCGCACACTTTTATAAATAACCCATGGTCTGAATCCTATATGAGGCATCTTTTCTGACTGCTGTTCTCTGATGGGCTGCTCTCTTCTGTGACCTTCCTCCCAGCACATCCTGATCGTGCAGAGGCAGCTGTCCGTGCTGGAGGAGGACGTGGAGGAGTTTCGTCTGGCTCTCAGGCAGTACACTGAAAGTGCCAGCGCCCAGACCGGCTGCCTCCAGTGAGTACACACTGCCGCTGCATCTGGGTTAATGTCTGTTGCATTCATACAGCCTTCTTTGAGAGTCAGTTTAGGCCAGTTCTCCACATTAGGCAAATCAAGTAATTGGTATTTATATCCATGTGTTTAAATTCGATGAATCAGATATGTCAGTTTCTGGGTTTGTGGAGAACTGTGGATCTTGATGTTTTCTCCATGATGGGTTTCTAGGAAAACCGTGATACCTGTAATTCAATCATGACAAGTCTCAGAATAGACTTAAACAACATTTTATTGATAAGAATAAAATGTACATAGGCTTTGTTTTGGTGGACTAGATCTTCTACGCTGCTGCTGCTGTTGCCGTAACATGCACATAAATATAGGGAATAGGATAATTGCTGCTGCAAGCAGAATAGGGAGAATCCGATCTAGGCAGGTGGTGCTGGGGAAGGAGGAGGCTAGGAAATTCCTATGGCACGCTGCACCTATAGTTAAACCAGTTCGGGACGGAAATAAAAAGGTTACAGTGATTGAACAAAAAGATTGAATAGTCATGCAACTGGATTTAGGAGAACCAATTTGCTATGCGGAAGAGTTTCATGACTGAACTATGTATTTATTTCCATTAAAATCCAATTGACATATTAAAGCTACAACATCCAGTTTCTCACGTGTCATAGCCTGTGTAAAATCAGCAAACTTATGGTCCGTGAATGAATTGCAGCTTGCTGCGAGCATGTGGCCGTGTGTTTATAACCCCTCAGTCCAGGTTTGACTTTTAACTAAATGTCAGTGATCACGTCAGGTAGCAGTAGATTTCTCTGGAACATTCTCCAAAAAAAAAAGAGAACCCCTTGTCTGGTTTAATCATGAGTTTTTTCCTAATTGGCTAATTAACAGGGGGAATGGCTTGGATGAAGAGTTCTACTTTAGCTTATTAGATAATTGACTTGCTTCAAGCTCGTCAGTTCAAATGACTCACTGACAACCTTTCACGCCAAGAACATTGAATGAAGGATTTGACGACTTACCAATATTCTCATTATTTTTAATGAAGGGAACGGTTCATCCAAAAATGATAATTCTGTTATCACCCTCATTTTTACTAACCCGTATGAACTTTTTCCTTCTGTGGAACACAAAATGAGATGTTTTGTAGAATGTTCAAGCTGCTATTTTCCATTCAGTAAAAGGGAATGTGGGCTAGGTTTGTCAAGTTCAAAAAACAAAAACAAATTTGAATTGTATTAAATTTGCACTTGTAGTGTCCTTCAAATCTTAATAGTGTATTTAAAAAAACTGCACTTTGAAATGTATTTTGAAATAAAGTGTAATTAAAGTGCACACTTAAAGTGCACTTTGAAATAAAGTACATTTTTTTTACCTAAAACTTTTAAATCATTATGTTTGCATAATCTTTGTCTTGCTTTATTGAACTACACTTATTATGATGTGTTGACTAACATACTAAAGCACATGTAAAGTACTTGATTGTACATTTTATTGCAGTATGTTATTCAATATTACATTTAAAGTTAATATATTTTAAATGTACTAAATTTCAACTTTATGATCACAAATATGTAATGACAAACATATTTAAACACACAACATACCAAGAGAATTAACATATTAAAAGTACATAAATGCTTGTCAGTACATTCGGCAGTACACTTTAACCATATTTCAAAAACAGTAGAAATGACCAGTGATAGTAATCGTACACTGGCTCTGCTCTCTTGGCAGCGTTGCAGTTCAGCGGCTTGCCAATGAATCCCGCTTCATACTGTACGAGTTCTGGGAGCAAAGCAACGTGTGGAAGAAGTAAGTCACGCTCGCATTTTCACTGATTCAAACCACTTTTCATAATACAATCCTAAAAATATTCAACTTGTAATATAACTGCCTGAAAAGTGTTTTTGATTTCTATTTATAGTCATCTGCAAACCAATTACAGTAAAACCTTTCAGAGAGGCAATGTGGATTTCTTAGAGACGCCAGAAATGATGACGACTATGCTGGTTCCAGGTGAATTACATACAAATTCTCTCTTAATTTAATATAATATAATATAATATAATATAATATAATATAATATAATATAATATAATAAAGTGTTTTTTTTTTTCTAAAGCGTCATGGTGGGTCCTCAACAACAACTAAGATTTGTCGACACCAGACATAATGAGAACCTCACAAGCCAAGACTGTCATCAGGAAGTGAGCACTTGCATTCATATTTGCTGTATAGTCATAGTGACTAGCACTTGCTTTCCATGTTGTTACATTATTAGCTCTATATGAGTACTGTACTGTAAACTGTAGATAATATCAAATAAAGCAATGAGATCTTTGTATTTATGATAGCACTCCAATCCCATCAGAGTTGCAAAAGCTATGTGTTCATCTGTGGCGTGACAGTACATGTGTGCTGTCAGTCTGTCTGTCTCCTCACGTAGTGATGTCACTGTTCCTGAACACATCAGAGTCCCTGACATGGACGTTTCTTATGTAGTTTGTCAGCTTTGAATAAAAATATGAAATCAATGTGACCAACCACAATTTTCGTCTTAAGTTTTGCCAAGTGAAGGTAGTTTCAAGTGGTTAATAAAGTTTCTAAGTTGATGTACTGAATTGTATTTTATTTAAGCGTTTTTGGTATTTTTCTACATGTAATCATATGGAGCTTCGAGATGGCGACAGTGTATGAAAGCTCTTTTTGGTCCACTGAGAGAGAGCACTGATTGTGCTAGACTATTTCCCAGGGCCAGATGACTCATTGAGTCCTTTTATGACTCATTGCATCCATCTCTCACGAAACAACACTGCCATCCAGTGGATGGAAAGGCTCAGGATTTCATGATCTTGTGCTCCAAAATTGGTCATTTTGTATTGACAAACAAAATTTAACAAAAAAAAAAAAATTTAAATACAGTGTGGTCCAATAGTCTGAGACCCCTATTCAAAACGCTTAAAATATTTCTTTTTTTTTCTTAAAATATATAATATAATATAGTCAGCATAACGATAAGGCAAAAAGCTGAACTGAAAATTGGACCTTTTGAGTTCACATGGTCAAATTGGCTTATTTTTTATTTTATTTAAGATTTATTTGACAGGGACAAATGCATAAAACATTGCTTTATAGTAAATACAAAGTAGATGCCACGCATACAGGTTTCTAGCCATGACTAATTTGCAACCCCTGTCCCTGGTTAGGCTTATGAAATAAAACAGAAATTACAGAGTATTGAATGTAAGATATGTAACTATTAAAAGACACACAACAAATACATCCCATACATGAAAAAGAATATGGGCTTAAGTAGATATAAAACTATAAAACAATCTGGCAGATTTAACAATACAAAAACACAAAAGGCTGCATATGCGTGCTAACATTATGCAACATTATGTTTGTATGCATTGTGTTATATCCTGTACAGTCAGTGTTCACAAAGTTGTTTCTGTTTCAGCCATTGCTTTAAATGTGTATTAAAAACCTTGAGTTCTGTCAATGTTTTAATTTCAGATGGTAAAGCGTTCCACAAATGTATGCCTCTTACTGAAAATGATGTCTGACCAAATGTTGTTCTACGCTTTGCAGCTATACAGTTTCCACTTATTGTGCCTCTAGTTCTTATTCCGCTTTTTTGTTTCTCTACTAGTTGACAGAATATTTCTGGTGCAAGGTTGTTCACACACTTAAAAGTTAGTTTTAAAAATGAAAAACTGACAAAACTGTCAAAACTCAATATATTATGTTTCCTTAGAATGATGCAGTGATGCCATCTTACAGATTTCTGGTCCATTACTTTTAGTGGTCTCCTACAGCAGCGGACAAAACAGACGCAAGTCACTTTAAATATGCACTGATTGGACTTCTTCCTTTCTGGTCAATCATATTTCAGCCCAAAATAATACATTTACAAGAACAAGACATTTGTTTTAAGATGATTTTGGCATTGTCATTCTTTTCAGGACAGTTCCCTTCATATTCTTCTCAATTCCCTACAATACTGAAGCTGAAGTAGGCTACCATCACCATTTTTTATGAAAATTAAAATAAATTTAATTCAATACTTTGACAATGTATGAATAAATAGTATTTTAGTTATAAGAATTAGAGAGAACGCAGGAATGTGATTAACTGGATTGCAAATAATGTCTGCTTTTCATTCTATAATTGTAACATTTAGTTAAATTATAATATTATTTTTTCTTTTAGGTTTAGGGTAGTGTTATTTTAGTATAATATGCTATTATAGTTTTTGTTAATTTTGTTAGATTTATTTTATTTTTTCTGTTTTAATTTTAGTCAAAGTTCTAGTCATTTTGATGGGAGTTTTTTAAAATATCTATGTTTATATATATTGTTTATATATATTATTTTAATGGTCTAGCTCTAGAAATTGTGAATTCCTAAATTTTATCTTGGAAGTACTACTAGTCGGTTTGTTGTTGTTATTATTTTCAAAATTGCCGCACTTTATTTTCAGGTTTAAATAAAATTTTGCATACCAGATTTTTTCACCCCAAACCAAGGTTATTATTGTTAACTAAAACTAAAACTAAAACCATAAAAATCATTACTTGAAATAAACATCAACAATAAAATACAATATAAAAATTGCGAAAGCATTTAGTTTGTTGAAGTACTAAAATTAACTAAATACTAAAACTTAATTTAAAAAAATATATATAAACATAGATATTTTAAAAAACTCCCATCAAAATGACTAGAACTTTGACTAAAATTAAAACAGAAAAAATAAAATAAATCTAACAAAATTAACAAAAACTATAATAGCATATTATACTAAAATAACACTACCCTAAACCTAAAAGAAAAAATAATATTATAATTTAACTAAATGTTACAATTATAGAATGAAAAGCAGACATTATTTGCAATCCAGTTAATCACATTCCTGCGTTCTCTCTAATTCTTATAACTAAAATACTATTTATTCATACATTGTCAAAGTATTGAATTAAATTTATTTTAATTTTCATAAAAAATGGTGATGGTAGCCTACTTCAGCTTCAGTATTGTAGGGAATTGAGAAGAATATGAAGGGAACTGTCCTGAAAAGAATGACAATGCCAAAATCATCTTAAAACAAATGTCTTGTTCTTGTAAATGTATTATTTTGGGCTGAAATATGATTGACCAGAAAGGAAGAAGTCCAATCAGTGCATATTTAAAGTGACTTGCGTCTGTTTTGTCCGCTGCTGTAGGAGACCATGTTCACTCTATAATATAATGACAGCCTGACCCTTGAGAGACAGTGTGCTGTTGGGTTTACACTGAATTATGTCATGTGCCTGTGTTATATAGACACACACCCGGATCTTTAATTAACAAGTCTGTGTGACAGGGGAGACAAGAATTCTCTTATCAAAATTATGAATGATGCCACTCGTTACAAAGCAAAGAGCGCCTTATTTGTCCAAATGACACATTGTGCTGAATGAAAGGAAATCTACAGTATAGAAGGCCATTCCTGTAAGGAAAAATCATGCTTTTGTAAATCAATCTTGACATAAAAAGTTGAAATTATAACATAAACGTCGAAATTATGATATACTAAGTCATAATTATAAGATGAATATCCATAATTATGACAAACAGTCAAAGTTATGACATACTAAGAGATGAAGAGTCATAATTATGGCATAAAATTCACATACTAATTTGAAATTATGACATACAAAGTAATGATTATCAATTATGATATAGAAAGTCACAATTTTGACTTTTTAATGTCATAATTATGATGAAAAGTCATATATATATGGCATAAAAGGTACACATTATGATACCCCAAATCAAAATGATTACTTGCTAAATTAAAATGATGACATTAAAAAGACATGTCCAAATTATGAACTAATAATTATTCTGATTATGATTTAGAATGTCAACTTCAAATTTCAACTTTCTTTTATCTCATGACTTGGTGTGTCATAATTTTAGAATTTTTATCTCATAATAATGGCTTAGTAGTCTTGTTTATCTTGTAATCTTATTATGATTTAGTATACGTCACTTTCAACTTTTTATCATAATTATGGCTTAGCATGTCATTTATTTAACCTTTATATCTCATAATTAGGACTTAGTATGTCAATTACACATTTATCTCATCTGTATGTCATCTGTAGCAAGGTTAGATGTTGTGGGAACTGGGAAGAAGGAGGCGGGAACCGGCGAACATTCAAAAACTTTAATAAGCGTAAAATAAACAAATACAAAATGAAAGTAAAGACAGCAGCCCCTCACGGACGACTGCTGTCACATATAACAAAACACAAATAAAACCCAGGCCTGTGACCTGTCCTCTATCGCTCCTCCTTTATGCTTCCGCTCCTCCATGAGAGATACGAGACCGCTCTTCATCAATCACGCCACCAGCCTCGCGCCCTCGGCCTCGTCCTGCTCGCCGCATCATCATTTTGACTTTTTATTTCATGACTAAGTGTCATATGAACAACTTTTAATGTCATAATTAGGATTTACCAAAGCACTTTTTTTTATGTGGCAGAAATGGGCTTCCATAGAAATTTGAGATTATACACCAAAAATAAAATGACAATTCAAATCAAGCTAGCACAAAGCATCACACCGTCAAAGGGCAAGGAATATTTTTCTGTTTTATTGAGAAATTATTGTTTTAAAAAGACCCAAGCCATTCCAACTTGAACTACAGACTTTGTGTGCTCAGTTTCCTATGTACAAGGACTTCACTGGCTCGTCACATTCAGAACAAGTTTAGATAGTATAGTTATCTCCATTTGTCTTGACAAAATACAGTAGTACTGTAAATGTAAGCTACAGCAATACTAGCAAGGTTGTACTGAGTTGTGGAATTAGGCGGGTAGCAGTGGGGCGTTTACATTCTACACACAGGAAAGAGCACTAGACACATGGCGTAACACTTCCACTGTGCCCTGTCAGTAACAGACTAGTAAAACACTGCTTCCGAGTACAAAAGAATCAAATTAAAATCATGCACGTCATTTCCCATTCACCAAGTGTCATTATTTCCGACCAATCCGTGAAATGAAAGGAATATTCTGGGTTCAATACAAGTAAAGATCAATTTGTGGTTTAATGTTGATTACCACAAAGATATTTTTTACTGCAAAGATCATTTTTGACTCTTCCCTCGTTTTCTTTACAAACAGCAGAAATAAAGGTTACAGTGAGGCGCTTTAAAAGTAGAAATGTGAAGCTTATCATTTTGCATTGATTCTTGTGTTACAAATTGTGTATTATTTGAGCTGTACAGCTTTTTAAATAATTTCTAATGTTGTTTCAGGGTTTTAGAGTTTTAGGTGTTACATTGTCTTGGCAATGAAGTTGTAAAATTTAACATAGGAAGAGTAGTATAGTACAGTTTAAAAGTTTGGGGTCAAAAAGATTTTTTTCCAAATATGTTTATTCAGCAAGGATGCATTGAATTGATCAATAGTGACAGTAAAGTCTTTTACATTATTACAACTTT